TCTTCCTCTTCTCTCTTGTGCCCGCGCGCTCTCTCTCTCTCCCCCTCTGTCCCTCCCTTTTTATTTCTCGTTCTCTCTTTCTCTCGTACCCTCTCGTTCTCTCAGCTATGTAATCTACGTACACGCGCATCAGCTTTGATCCTGGCACATTCATACTAGGACAATATTATGTCCATGCATGGAAGCTGGAAGCTGTCATTGCTATATCAGAGCCATGTGAGACGGACAACAATATCTCGACTACGTACCAGCTGCCCTGCCCCCACAGTAGGCTATGCTTTCTACAAGTGACCATGCCCTTACAACAGTCTGTGCGTTCTACAGTAGACTATGCCTTTACAACAGTCTATGCTTTCTACAGTAGGCTGTGTCCCTACAGTAGGCCAAGCTTTCCACAGTATGCTATGCCCTTACAGTAAGCTATGTCCTTATAGTATGATATGTCTATACAGTATAAGCTATGCCATTAGCCCCATTACCATATGCTATGTCTTTACAGTATGCAGTCTTCACAGTAGGGAATGCCCTTACAGTAGGGTATGCCCTTACAGTAGGTTATGCCCCTACAGTAGGTTATGCCCCTACAGTAGCCTGTACACCTACAGTAGGTTATGCCCCTACAGTAGCCTGTACACCTGCAGTATTGATATACCTCTACAGTAGTACACTATTGGTTACATTGCGCTCCCACATACAGTACCCTATTCCCCATACTGTATGTTACTCCCCTATGCTATGTTAATACAGCATGTGAAGTCCATTACAGTATTCCACAGCTCTATAGCTTAGCAGTAGGCTATACCCTCTATTATGCCTCAGACTACTACTGCTACGCAACACCAAACGCCCACGCCAGCCGTTCCAACTATGTGCGCAGCTATCAATAACACCAATGATTGCAAAATATCTCATCAATTAATAACCATGTATGATTGGCAGTCAGCAAGTTTTTGCTCTGGTAAATTCTGATCTTGATGTTACATCTAATGACAACATACTTTATTGCGCTAATTTTTTTATATTTTATTATAGCACTTTTTAAAGTTTAAAAACAGTTAGAGACATAACAGCACACTAGGGTTCTATCATATATTATGTGGTAATCTGACCCAATATTCTCTGCTGCAAAACAACTAAATGAATGAAAATTAAATTTCAGCATTGCATAAGCAGCGTAGTCAGGTTCTACAAAACCTATCCGATTTATAATAATAAAAGCAACAAAAGGTTTGACTGTACCAGATCTATAAGCCACGTCCTGCCTGACTGCAGTAGTAGGGACAGACCACTAACCTATCAAACCTCCACTGCGATAAAGACACATATAAGTATACTCATTCTGAATCGGCTCAGAATGTCAGGAACTACTCAGGAACTTGCAATAAAGATTTAAAGTGATTACGTCACCGTAAATAGTAAAAAATAAAAAATAAATCTCCACTTTTTCTCAAAATATAAGTAATTCTGTTCACTTTTTATAGTTAAATTGCTGCATTATACTACTTATTTTACTATATTGTTCAATGTGAACATACACTCGTGACGCATACATAGCCCATGATAGCAAGCAATTAATGTCAGGAACACTAATATCAAATCGTCCAGGTTTTTTGGATTTTAACTAGTTGAGAAACAATCTGATCAGGTAAGAATTTGACGATATGTTTAGTCCCGTTAGTTCTTACTTTTAATGTAAAAAATGGCAACAAAAATTTTACAAATTTTACCATAGAAAATTCGTGACGTAGTCAATTTAATAATAAAAATGATAATAACTGACACAGTGTGGACGTGTAGGAAGTGGAGACATGAACTAGCTAGGAAATAAATATTTGACATATTCTTACTGGCAACAGCTGCAATTTTCAAGAGATGTTGCAATGAACATAATTGAAATGATGTGCAAACTTACATCAGTATCAGGTCCCTTGTCTGCTCCTGGGCATTGGAACGACACAAACTCATGGCATCTTTTATGAACCACAAAACTACAAACTGAAATGAAATAATAGAAGACACTTAATTGCAGACAAATACAAGAATGATATTTCTTTGATTTAGGTTTCATATCAATATACAACGGGTTAAACCTGAAGTGAACAGGGAAAACGAATTATTGCAAAAAATAACAGAATGTATGACTTTCGCTATGTAGCTTCCGAATTAAATATACAAAAATATGATAACTATGAAGTGGTTGAAAAGCAAGTATTGTACAAACGCTCCTTCTGCGATGACACCAAAGTATAATCACTGATATGCATTATTAATACACACCTTGACACTGAAATCCTTGTTTACCGAAGCCCCTGAAAATAAATGTATGAACTTGTAAACAATAGCAATGACTACAGTACGATGGATGTACAGTACAGTACAGTACAGTACAGTACAGTACAGTACAATGGATACAGTACGTGTATGTTATAGTAATGGTGTCTAAACAGGTCTATGGAGCTAGTAATACTGGATTTTATAGTATGGATCAATAACATAGAACTGCTCTATTCATATTTACAGAAATTAAATAATTAAATACATACCATGCATTGTTTATGCATACCATATAATAATTTATAAACGTGTGTAATTAATGATTATTCATGGTATCCAAGACTATGAGCTAGCTGTCACTATATTAAATTTTGTCGGTGATGAAAATACGAGCAGTGATGCTGACACTAAAGAATGTACATATTGGGTTTCAGTGTCAATGAAGCCAAATGAAGCCCTATCGATATGGCAGATTTTGTCGTAGTAATTTGACAAAAAGTAAAAGTATTGATCCTGAGGATTTTCCCCCACACTAAACAGTGACATCAACTACAGCGCACAGTTTCCTATCTGCTATCCAGTCTCGAAGTTATCGCGTTCATCGTTCCCGCAAAACGAGAGGAGTGACCGCGGATGGGATGAGGCGGGATGCCAGCGCGAAGCCGCCGAAGCAAAGGAAGCCGGACGAGTGTCGGAGTGAGAAATCGTATTTACTTACCAGATGAAGTCTTTGCAATGGCTGCAAAACGTGGGCTGCTTGAAAAACCTTGCGATAAACTTATGATCCTTAACTTCGTGAACATTTTTCTGTCGTAGGGCACCCTTACGAGCAAATCCCTTCGGACCACCAGCTTTCACCTGGAATTTGTCAGCCATCTTTCCTGAGCAGGAAGTGCACTGTTTTCAATCTCGATCGGGGCTCGGTGAAACATCCGGCCAGAGCTACCACTAGCTGGCGCCACCATAAGTAAAAATGTCTGCGACCACCAACACGTGAATTTGTAAACGTTATGAAATTTGTGCTATTTTCGTAAGTAATGCGATAGTTGCAAGTTCGCACCGTATTCTAAAAAATACAGACGACTCAGGCATAGGCTTAAGATTCGCCGAACGCAAAAATTCAGCATATCTCCAGGGAGAGCACTGAAATATCGACCCGTGTTACGTTGCGGTGTGGTGACTGTGGTGTGTATTATTTTATTTAGGCCTATTGTTGAGTGTTATCGAAAGATTCAATTATTAATATTATGTGTGTTAACGTTTGTAACACAATTTGGTAATTATTTGTTTTACTTGGTTATTAATTAGCTAGGCTGTATATTGGTGTAGCCACATGGCACATGGCTACATCTATGTAGTTGAGAGATATGATTATGATATTCATAGCCTAACTAGGTTGACAATTACAATATAATGAAT